GAAACGTAACCATTCCGCCCACCGAAATGCGTCTTGAGCATTTCCTACCAGTGCAGTCGAAATTAATAACAAAAATCAGTATAATAATTAACATTGTATGAGAATTAAATTTAAACTATAAATAAATAAATAAATTCTATAACTAAAGTATCTTACGTAAATGAAACTTCAATGTCCAAGCCACTTGGCGTACTCCTCGTCGCTGATCTGCAGGCCGGCTTCGAAGATGTCGATCACTGGAGCAGCGGGGCACCTATGGCGTCGAATTTGCGCATCTCTTTTTCTGAGGTCTTCTCTCCATTTCTCCAGCTTGGCCTTCGGCGTCGGGATGTACGTCATGTATCGGCTTATTGGCCTCAAACGCCACGGCATCAGCGTCTCTCCGAGATCCAATTTCTTCTTGCTTGCTGCATCGGAGTCGGTTGGGTCTAACGAGGCAAGAGTCGTTGTCAATAAAGACACTTCAGCAGACAATCGGACTGCAGATGATGAAGTCGGAACTGAGACTTCTGCCTCAATTGGGCTCGGAGTAGAAGTACTAGCAGCCACAATAACAGCTTGATCGCTTATACACGCTTCTGGCTCAGCGATTTCCACTTCTGCAATTTTACCTACTACACGATTGCGAAATCTTGCTCTGATCGCTTCTTCAGTAACGATTGAAGGAGGTTTTGCATCGGAGGCTTCATTAGTTGAAGTTTTTTTCTTCTGCTTTCTTAACTCCATAAGTTCAGCGAAGCGTATCGCTCTTCTCTCCTTGCGATTGAGATTCACCTTGGTTCCTTTCGCACTTATAGGTGATTTTCTCTTACGGTGAACTCGTCGCGCTCCCATGGTGAGTTTCACTTTCACAGGTCGTTGCACTGAACACAGAGATATGCTATCGCACTATATAAGAACAGCTCGATTCTACGCTGGACTTATAGTTTACAGGCGACACTTTTCTTGCAGATTTAAACACGCCACCTGGCGGCATGACCCGGTAGTATGTTTACCATTTTACTTTTGGATCAGCACACGACATCTGGCGGTGAATTTAGTACCAATTCGTACTATTAGTTTTCTATGAGTTTGATCAATTTTGCCACTGGTCTTTNTATATCAATTTCATCGGACGTGTCTCGATTAGCGGGAAAATCTTCATTGACCCAAGGCTGTACAGTCGAGATGAGTACTTCAGGGCCGAACCACCAAAGGCGAGCGTTCTGAAGTGTAGCGACTGTACACCCTCTCGAAGCCAAGTCAGCAGGATTTTGCTTCGTGTTGATGTAATGCCAATTCGCTTGAGGAACCTGATTGATAATATCAGCGCACCGATTGGCCACGAATACGGGCCATCGTGCAGGTATACCGTGAATCCAATGCAAGGTAGTCTTGGAATCCGACCACAAATGTATCTTGGCACTCATGAAGTCCTCCGTAGCTGCAAAGGAAGCTACGAGCTTGGCCAACAGATGGGCAGCACAAAGCTCCAGTCGAGGTATCGATTGAGTTTTCAACGGAGCCACCTTAGTCTTCGACGCCAGTAAGTTGACTCTGACTCGTCCTTGATAAATGACTCGAACATAAAGTACAGCGGCACAAGCGAATTTTGAAGCATCCGCAAAGCCGTGTAATTCAATGAGCGCTTCGCTCATAACACCGTTCCATCGAGGTATGACGAGAGAAGTCAATCCTTTTAAATCGTCTTCAAAAGCTCGCCACTTCTCCACCTCAGCGGCAGGCAATGTAACGTCCCACTCTTTCGTTAAGAGCCACAGGGACTGCATAAAAATCTTCAGAGAGATTAAAACAGGCGCAATCCACCCCGAAGGGTCGAACATACCAGCGATGCATGACAGTACCTTTCGTTTCGTTACTGGCCTCACCAAAGGCTCAAAGGAGACATTGAAACGAAATACATCCTTCCGAGGCTCCCACACGAGACCGAGGACTGAAAACCCTAGTCCGACCTTGAGTGTAGCCTCCTTAGCTAAGGATTCTGAGGAAAAGGTGCTCAACAAGTCGGGATCATTAGTCATCCATTTAGCAAGACTAAATCCTCCAGAAGCAAATAAAGCGCTCAACTGATCACGCTTTTGCTTGGCAAGGCCGACATCCCAAGCGCCGGACAAAACATCGTCCATGTACATTTCTTTATGAACAATCGGTACAGCCAAAGGGTACTTTTCCCCCTCGTCACTTGCCAATTGTCTGAGTGTTCTATTTGCCAAAAAAGCGGAAGGGCCAGAACCAAATGTGACAGTTGTGAGCACGTAATTATCGATTTCCTTCTTAGGATCGTCTCGCCAAAGTATAGATTGAAACTTCCAATCGTCAGGATGTATTCGCACCTGCAGGTACATCTTCGAAACGTCGGCTACGAAAGCTACAGGGTAACGGCGCCAATGAGCCAAGACCAGAATGAGCTGCGGCAATAAATTGGGGCCAGTCATAAGGTGCTCATTTAATGAATGGCCTGCTGCATTTCGAGCCGAAGCGTTGAAGACTGGGCGTACGCGAGTCGTCGTACTACTTTCCTTTACGACGGCGTGATGAGGCAGGAAATAATGCGATCTATAATCTTGTGATGCAATGGACACCTTGCGCATTTGATCAGACTTGATCATTTGTTGTATCGAAGCGCTATACTCAGCATAGAGAGATGGATTTTTACCAAGCTTTCTTTCGAGCGAAAGTAGACAACTGCGAGCGATCTGGTGCGAATTGACCCAATCAGAGGGAGCGTCAGGCTTCATAGGTAACCTAACCTGGTAGCGTCCATCTGAGAGGCGAATTGTGTTCGCTTGATAGTGTTTTTCACACAATTGGTCCTCAGAAGACCAAGGAAGAACATGAGGCGGTTCCTCTAACTCCCAGAAAGATTTCAATTGTTCGTTCATACGGTCGTCAGCTTGCAAGCACACAAAAGTTTCCCTTCTGTCTGACCTTTCAGCATTACCAGACAAGATCCATCCGAGCTGCGTTTTCATAGCTATAGGAGCTCTTTCATCACCCCTGCGTAAGCCTGCTTGCATGATACGAGCATGAATTTGCGTACTCAATAACAAATCGACTCTGCCAGGCCGAGCAAAGTTTGGATCGGCGAGCTGTAAGNCTCTTCGTAGGTCAATAACGAGTCGCCTATCATTCTCTTTAAATGATGTTTCACTGATTTGACGCCTGATTCCCACAAGCCTCCAAAATGTGGTGAACCCGGAGGGTTATAATGCCAAGTTGTTCCTTGATGATCGCGCAATTGCGTGAAGATAGAGTCGTAAAACTCCGAACCTTTTTTATGCATGCGACGTAACTCAGCATCAGCACCCACAAAATTTGTACCTCGGTCACTGTATAAATGCAGGCAAGGACCTCGGCGAGAGGTAAAGCGCCTAAATGCAGCTATAAACGAAGCAGTGTCATAAGAAGAGACAGCCTCCAGATGTACGGCTTTAGTAGCCATACACACGAATATAGCCATATATCCTTTGTATGACAAATTACCTCTGTGATTGGAAGCTCTGAGACGAAATGGACCCGCATAGTCGACCCCAGAGCTTTCAAAAAGCCGGGAAGGCGTGACGCGCACTGCAGGCAAGTCGGCCATGCGCTGTGAAGTGGTAGCAGCACGATAACGCAGACAAACGACGCATTTGCGCAAGTGCGTACCAACTACACTCGTGACTCTCGGTATCCAAAAGGACTGTCTAAGGTGTGTGATGACTAGACGTGTTCCGCCGTGCAGCGTTCTCTTATGCAAGTGGTCTATCAAAAGCTCAACTAATCGACACTTTGCCGGTAGAATAACTTGATGCTTGCAATCATCACTTATATGAGCATTGTCCAGTCGACCACCCACCCTGAGCAGTCCGTCTACAACCACCGGACACAGGTTTCTCAGAGAATGCTTCCTGCTCAGCGGAAGATTCGACGAAACACTTCGTATTTCTTCCGCTAGCAAAGCGGATTGTGTCATTCGACAAGCCTGCAATGTAGCCTGACTTAGCTCATCAACGGATATTCGATTCTCCGTTGCAGCTTTGAAACGCAACTTCAATGAAATATTTCTCTTGTCGGCGAGTCTCGTGACGAAACGCAGACAATAAACCATTACTCTTTGCATACGAGAGTAAGACGAGAAACGCGATAGAAACTCGCAATCCTGAGGACAGGAGTCTTCTTGAAGCAAGACAACACGTTCGAGTATATCAATTTCATCGGACGTGTCTCGATTAGCGGGAAAATCTTCATTGACCCAAGGCTGTACAGTCGAGATGAGTACTTCAGGGCCGAACCACCAAAGGCGAGCGTTCTGAAGTGTAGCGACTGTACACCCTCTCGAAGCCAAGTCAGCAGGATTTTGCTTCGTGTTGATGTAATGCCAATTCGCTTGAGGAACCTGATTGATAATATCAGCGCACCGATTGGCCACGAATACGGGCCATCGTGCAGGTATACCGTGAATCCAATGCAAGGTAGTCCTGGAATCCGACCACAAATGTATCTTGGCACTCATGAAGTCCTCCGTAGCTGCAAAGGAAGCTACGAGCTTGGCCAACAGATGGGCAGCACAAAGCTCTAGTCGAGGTATCGATTGAGTTTTCAACGGAGCCACCTTAGTCTTTGACGCCAGTAAGTTGACTCTGACTCGTCCTTGATAAATGACTCGAACATAAAGTACAGCGGCATAAGCGAATTTTGAAGCGTCCGCAAAGCCGTGTAATTCAATGAGCGCTTCGCTCATTACACCGTTCCATCGAGGTATGACGAGAGAAGTCAATCCTTTTAAATCGTCTTCAAAAGCTCGCCACTTCTCCACCTCAGCGGCAGGCAATGTAACGTCCCACTCTTTCGTTAAGAGCCACAGGGACTGCATAAAAATCTTCAGAGAGATTAAAACAGGCGCAATCCACCCCGAAGGGTCGAACATACCAGCGATGCATGACAGTACCTTTCGTTTCGTTACTGGACTCACCAAAGGCTCAAAGGAGACATTGAAACGAAATACATCCTTCCGAGGCTCCCACACGAGACCGAGGACTGAAAACCCTAGTCCGACCTTGAGTGTAGCCTCCTTAGCTAAGGATTCTGAGGAAAAGGTGCTCAACAAGTCGGGATCATTAGTCATCCATTTAGCAAGACTAAATCCTCCAGAAGCAAATAAAGCGCTCAACTGATCACGCTTTTGCTTGGCAAGGCCGACATCCCAAGCGCCGGATAAAACATCGTCCATGTACATTTCTTTATGAACAATCGGTACAGCCAAAGGGTACTTTTCCCCCTCGTCACTTGCCAATTGTCTGAGTGTTCTATTTGCCAAAAAAGCGGAAGGGCCAGAACCAAATGTGACAGTTGTGAGCACGTAATTATCGATTTCCTTCTTTGGATCGTCTCGCCAAAGTATAGATTGAAACTTCCAATCGTCAGGATGTATTCGCACCTGCAGGTACATCTTCGAAACGTCGGCTACGAAAGCTACAGGGTAACAGCGCCAATGAGCCAAGACCAGAATGAGCTGCGGCAATAAATTGGGGCCAGTCATAAGGTGCTCATTTAATGAATGGCCTGCTGCATTTCGAGCCGAAGCGTTGAAGACTGGGCGCACGCGAGTCGTCGTACTACTTTCCTTTACGACGGCGTGATGAGGCAGGAAATAATGCGATCTATAATCTTGCGATGCAATGGACACCTTACGCATTTGATCAGACTTGATCATTTGTTGTATCGAAGCGCTATACTCAGCATAGAGAGATGGATTTTTACCAAGCTTTCTTTCGAGCGAAAGTAGACAACTGCGAGCGATCTGGTGCGAATTGACCCAATCAGAGGGAGCGTCAGGCTTCATAGGTAACCTAACCTGGTAGCGTCCATCTAAGAGGCGAATTGTGTTCGCTTGATAGTGTTTTTCACACAATTGGTCCTCAGAAGACCAAGGAAGAACATGAGGCGGTTCCTCTAACTCCCAGAAAGATTTCAATTGTTCGTTCATACGGTCGTCAGCTTGCAAGCACACAAAAGTTTCCCTTCTGTCTGACCTTTCAGCATTACCAGACAAGATCCATCCGAGCTGCGTTTTCATAGCTATAGGAGCTCTTTCATCGCCCCTGCGCAAGCCTGCTTGCATGATACGAGCATGAATTTGCGTACTCAATAACAA